TGAAGACACGCATTGGTCTAAGGAAACAAGAAAAAGTGAGGTGCGCTTCACAAAGTGCGAAATACTAAGAAGGCGATTTCAAAAAGGGTAATCGATCACCATAGCTACCTGCTCAATTTCTACATTCATATAACTGTTTGGAGAAAGGTTGTCCCGCAGGAAAAATACTAGAGTATGAGTGGTGGTAGTTAACCTTTGCTACCTTTAGCTTAATGGCTGGGCGGAAGGTGCCCTACTACATTTTTTATCAAGTGGACCATAACAACTTCAAGGAACACGGTGTTTAATGGTGATCTTGACTCACTCGCCCACAGGCGGAACTCAAAGATATTTCTAAAAGTCAACTGTCATAAGTGAGTTGTAGCCAATATTATTGCGACAACTCAGTTTAAGGACGTTCGCGCCCATTGTTACTTAGCTTCCCACGCGTTACTTAGCTTCCCACGTGTTAGAGGCTAATTGTTACAGCGCATCCTTACTGACCATGTAATTAGTGCCGCGACGTCACACCACGTCACACATCAAGCGCACGCACTAAGAAAAAAATATAAGCAAGTATAGGGGTTGGCACCGCGAGCGCTAACTTGGCCTACAATTTACTTTCTTTACTGATTTTTCTCATTTCATGAAAATCAGAACAAATCTGTACGTAAGAAATAACAAATATTTCTCCTTTTCTGCTCTCGTGTTAAGGAATTGGTCTACTTCGAATGGCACCGTTCAAGTCTAATGTGTATTCCTTTTTAAGACTCATTCTACCTCAAGGAGCGACATCAGCTAAAAATGCATGGCCTTCAATGCGCATTATTTCGAAAACGAGCACGGTGACCCCCCCTCCCCCCTTTTTTTCATTTTTTGGCAAAAGTCAATTGCACGACAACTTTAAAAAAAATCTGCACGTGGGAACATTTTGGGCGGGAAAGTTCGCAACTCGTAAGCTAGGCAAAGGAAATCCTAAGGATATTACTTTCGACACTCTTAACACCTGAACTGAGATCGTTTTTCATCAGTCGAACGCTTTGTTCTAAGAGCAGGTTAGATACAGTTATAAAACTAGCTTGACGATTATTGTTTTGTTAAAAATGTTTCGTAACACTATTCCCCGGGCGCTATTCATGATTCACGATTCATGATTCAAAATAATATCATTTTAGTTTCCTTTGTAAAAATTCAGTACCGCGAATTCGTTTCTTCTTAATCGCACCCAAATTCGTTTTTCACTTATTGCCTCCGACCCTGGCAATATACTCTGCGGCTCAAATATGCCACATATGGCTCGTTTTCGACAAAGCAGTAGATAGAAAATAAAAGTTTACTATTTCTCTCTAAAATACTTCTCAATCTGCTAAAAATGTGTTCGAAGTTTATCTCTAGACTTTCGATTGTGGATTGTATGTTCATTTCTCGCTCGACACGCCGAGATAACGCTTGCTGTGGCGCCAGTTGTGGTTTTTTTTTTTTTTTCTGCAGTATTTTCGGCTTATGTTGTTGTTGTTGTAAGTTGTTTTGAATCCCGAATGAAATTTGAGCCACTCGCTCAATGAAAGTTAATCGGCGGTAAAATCTACCGAATGATTTCTTTTTCGCGAACGAATCGTCTTATTTTGGGGCTGTACTGTATTAAACCCTTGCTATTTCTCTGTTCTATTTCCTTCCCTTCGTCACCCGTTGGTCGTTTCTTTCGTCAATTATGGTCTAAAATTTCACGTTCCGCGATGACGCAAGTGATGGATGCAAAAATATCATTACAAACGGTCGATATGTTTATTTGACATATGTAATATATTTATTCCTTTCCACAAATATCACGTAAAATCGCCAAATATCTTTCCGGAAATTCTCAAAATTTGTTCTTAATGTCACAAAATGTTTTCTAAATATCTCGAAAACCTCTCTAAATATCTCTTATTTTTGTCGCAAAAATACACCGATTTTGAATCACTTAGGCCAAAATTTTCAAAAGTCTTCTTGTTGTACTAGGAATTGAGGGAGAAAATTCAGGCACTTCGATGTTACCAGCATCCGCCATTTTGGAAAATTGCAGCTTAAGCGCTTTCAGTGATGTTGAATATATTCTTCGAGAGGGAAATCACTGAACTGGATTGTTTCTGGCATAGAACTGAGAATTGTTCCCAGCAAATAGCGACGAAAAGTCAGAAAACCTATGAATGTTTCTACATATCTTACATTTTCTAAATATATCGGAAACTTCTAAATATCCCTAAAAATATCCGGATATTTGTGGAAAGGCCTAAATATATTCCATACTTTTTATTTATAACGCTTCATACTAAACGCTTCAGTGATTCTCGGGAGAAATGAGGCGAGAGGTGGTAACTTACATTTGAGTGGTACTGTACTCCATAATAGTAAAAGAGGAAACTAATGACATGCAGCCATCCCTAAAAAATCCATCTGTGGACTGAATTATATTCCGTATAATAGTAACAAAATATATTTTCTTCACAAAGGTAGACTCTTCATTTCGCATATGCCAGAAACATTGTGACTGTATAAAGGGTAGTAGATTAAAGAGGGTTTAAATAGCGGGTTTTTAATTAACAGTAGTGCACGAAGCATGCTGCATTCCGTAGCTCTCTGCGTATAGGAGCGTTGTTTCACGGGACTGAACNCCGAACTATTTCGAACAAATTCATATAGACTGTGTTGGTATGGTATTTAATGGTTGTTAAGCCTTTTATTACACCGAGGAACTATCGCACATGAACTTTCCGCGTGGGAAATGTTCGAAGAAATTTCTCCATTAAAAACACGGACGATAACTTTTAAAATGTCGGTGCGCAGAGCATGCTTCCCTAGTATACAAATGATATTAAATTTCAGCAAAAATACCCTACAACTAAGACTGCTTGTAAGGGGCACCCAGCAGCTCGTTTCGGTGAATTATCTGTTCGGAGGGCCGTTAATCCATTCCGATTTTTCTTAAGAGAACTGTCACCTCGAACTGTCGAGATTTGAGAAATTGTTTTGGCCTGTTGTTTTCGGATTTATAAAAATGTCGTTTTGGGTACCAAAAAAACGGTCAGTTATGATTTTTAGAAAGGCAAGGAGACCTAAGGGTTTCGAGAAATGGACAAAGAAAGCCCTCGTAAATTCGATAAGGCTCAATTTCCCTTAAAATGACCAAAAAATAAGCAAATTAATAGCGCAGCCTAAACATTTACCGACACAGCTTTCAAAGCATTTCAGAAAGCCGAAAACAGCGTTTAAAAGTATTTGAGAGAAGACCGTATTGAGTGCCCCTGGCCAGTTTCGGGAAGACCGAATAATTGTAATTGTGTTAAAAAAAAATTAAAATTTACATCTCAACAAACTTCTTCTACCTGTACAGTAGTGCTGCTTTTCACACCTGGCCTACTTACACTGACGTCAGTTTAATAAAGATCGTTCCATTAATTACCCACTTAAAATTGTGAACGGCGGGAAACTGTTGCAGGTCCTATTGGCTGGATACCGGCAGGTAATGAGCCTCGCTAAGTAAGTTTACGGAAACTTAGATGAAGCAATCAACCTCTGTACATTTTTTATGTAAAATTAGGGAGGGCCATATTGTAAACTACTGGGCAACCAGTAAATTATGTTACCCTCGTTAAATAAAGTCTTTTATTTATTATTTATTATTTATTATTTTGGGTAAACAAATGAAGTGCGTTCGATGTCGCCAACGAACTTAGAAATATAATGATTACAAACTATTGAATCATACTGTGGGCAACACCACCCCCCTTCCCCCGCTATCGGGTCTCGCTGAGTTCTGTTTGTAACGAAATGGAAGTTCCATCCTTTTCCCACGATTAGCCCTTTGTTTCAAAGCGAAAATATGAAACTGACGTAGGAAAAGAGTACGTAATGACGTAACAAAATGTCAACAAATTTAGGTTGCCTATCGGGGAGATATTAAAGACACCACTTGTTGTTTTTTCCCAACGTTTCAAGCAAAGCTACAAAACTGACATCTTTCAATATTTGAAGCGTGGCAATGAACTTGAAAAACATAATTTTGAACAAAAACTGATAGCGATATGAACTTTGGTCAAGTGTTTAAGACTGTTTTTTTACAAAATGAAACCTATCCCTGATTAATATGGTCAGTGGCATACACATACGATGACCGCCATATTGGAGAAGGAGATACGCATTTCACTTCACCACGGGTAACAAAATTCAATACGTTTCGTCAATTAAAATGAGACTTAACTCAACACTTCGGTGTTTCCATAAAGCATGTGAGGGCAGGTGTTCAGTTCTCCCCTGTGGAGGTGTGACGTACTCTCATGATGGCAATTTTCGACATTAAAATGAACTGTTTTGATCAAAAATTATAAATGCTTTAGAAATAACGTACTTAGCTTGAGAGCATAAGATTGCGTTGGCTTGGACTGGTCTCAAACTCAAGGCATATTGAGGGATTGAGATCTCTCAAGTGGACAATTACACAGAGTGCCGTGACAGACGGAAAGTGTGTTGTGACGTGATTTGCGGGAGCCCTGCCCAGCGCCGGCGGGCAGGTGACTGAAATTATCATTAGCAAGAACTCCCGCGCAAGAGCCGCTGTTTCTGCAAAATGATGCGAAGACGGTTAATTCGCCGTATCTAACTAAATAACTCATTACTATGTAGCTTTAGGCTGTGACAAAGGAGGTTATTTAGTTCAATAAAGAACAACAATTCTTCGACATTAAGCTGTCCAATCTAGCCAACATCAGAGTATAGACGGCGTACGTTTTGAAGAAGGAAAATATATCCCTGGTACTAGTTTGGAAGTTTATTTTAATTGAATTTTAAGTTCGATGTTTGAAGAAATAAGTTTAACCCTGAAGTCGCTTTACTCAGAGCCTGAATATTCCAACCCTGAAGTCACTTTACTCAGAGCCTGAATATTCCAGAAGATATTATATTCTACCCTTCCTGTTTTGAAATTAATGTAAAGAATTTTCTAGAATACCACCGGTACATAATAAAAAGCGGTTCGACAAACGTACCGAGAAGACGAACAAATTTCGGGAAGTCAGTTAAGAGTTGAGTATTTCGTGTCAAAATGGTGTTAAAAAGCGAAATGGATGATGTGCGAGGGCTGATGTTGGAAGTCGAGGCCATGGACGCAGAGTTACTCTTAAGGTATCTGAAATGAAGCCGCTTGAACAGTGCTGGCTCGATTCGCTGATGAAAGGGTTCAACTCACAGTTTGGATACAAAATCACGTGGATGAAAAAACTAAACGTTTTTCACCGTCATCTTCTCAATCAATTGACAAATGGACGAGATAAATTATCGCATGGAAGTTTAAGTGAAGACACCAGGCGATTTTCCGTTTAAGTATGGATCCGGGTTCTGCTAAATCCGATGCAGAGCCATTAATCACTACGAAATCCACAAACTATTAGTCACGTTTCCCGAGTTCGGCAAGGATAGCGAAAACAGAGCTGAAGCCTACGCTTCTCTCACGTGCGAAAATTTATCCCACTTACTACATAAGGCATGTAAAATAAAATTAACTGAAGGACACGAAACGTCACAGAAAGGTTTGATTACATGCTGGGTTAAAAAGGAGATCATCATTGGAAGCACGGAAATGAACAGACCACAAATATGTGTATGCATCCATCTTTGGTAAGAAACCCTACTGCCATTTTAATCAAAGGAAACACCTCTGAAAGCATAAGTGATAAAGCTGAGTATATCCTGACTCGAGAACATGGGTTGAATTTCGCGTCATCCGAATGTAACACAGGGGTAATTCTGGACATCAAAAGTGAGTTTTGGAGGAAATTAAATCTTTTTGATTTTCGTTGCTATCATAATTAAGCGATCGTAAACAGTCAGCCATGGGTCACACTCCTCAAATTTTACGGCGGCGTTTTCCTTGTTATTTGTCTCTTTTATCTCCTACCTGTCAAGGATTAAGATCTGGAAAAGATCCGCTCAGTTGTGTTAAAAACTGGCTTAGAAATTGAAACGTGTCTTAACTAAGGATGACCTCTCAGATTAGCGACACGCACAGCGTATCTGTTGTAAGATGCCACTAAGAGATCCCTGATTAGTTGGGTTATAAATGGGTCCACGTGTTACAGAACAAGCTTCATGTCTCCGTCTAAACTGTTTGGACACCCCAACCTGCCTTTGATTATGAAATTGAAGTGCGCGTTTGCTCAGACTCAGCTAACCCATCATGTCATGAAGTAGCCCGGTTTAGAGGTTGTCGGAACAAACGAAACATGTTGACGAGCACGGGCAAGCGAGAATAATAAGCTCCGAGGGTCAAGAAAGTCGTAAATAATCTCCATGATCACATCCATTGGAAGGACAAAAAAACATCAGCATATCCTCGAGTTTCTTTCACATTGATTTAGATGACAATAGTGGTACACTGTGAAATATATGTGCGAGTAAATTTGTTTTGACTGCATACCCGACATGACGTTACTCCATGCAGAGACGTGACTTACAAAATATGCTATGGGTTTCGCAATATGCTGCATTGCGTGGAAGGTGTGACATGCTTACGTCATTGCGGTTCAACATTGTGCAAGGTTTGTAGTGAGTAGACGTCAACAAGGTAACGCGACGTGACTGAGAGACGAGGACCCAAACATGCCTCTTGAAACTGGATTTCGGATACAAGGCCAACTCTGAATGTAGCGAGAGCATTACTACCTTCACTTTAATCTTTTCACTTTTACGAAGGAAGACTGACGGTACGGATGAAATTGTAAATAGAGGCAAAGATGGATTTTCTGACTCGAAACAGTGGGAGCGGTGGGTCACTTAATTGGAGAGGTCAGCAAGGCGCGCCAATTTCGAAGAGCTGACATGTACACAACGCTCTTCCACCCACACTGATTTAAGTATATTTGAATAACGATTATTATTTAACGCTATTTAAGTTTCAGTATGAGATCACTAAATTTATGGACGAGTGTTCATATATTAGCGTTGAACGCTTGAAGTCATTCATAGTAATGACTTACTCGTGACCAATTAAGCCTACACGGTACTTGATTTTGTCCAAGGATAGATCTGACTTAGTTATATCATAACAAAACTGTATTACTAGTATTATGGCGGAGCTCATTCCACCATTAGTGAAAGGTTTAAGGGCAAAAGACATCGGCAATCAAGCGAAGTGGAAAATTCAAAATAGTAACTTAATATAATAGAATATAAAGTGAAATCATGAAAGTGATGAAAAATGTTTCGCTAGCTAGAATTGAAGAGGATTTGTTTTATGTTTGGTTTGGTGAACGGGATTGTTGTCTAAAGTTCTTATTCAGCTTCTGACAATAGAAACACATGTTATCCAACCAATATGCACAACCTATATGAGACTTATAACGTCACGCCATATGTACCTGAGAGCTGCTGGCAAAAATTTAACAATTGAAATGGCAATTGTCGTAAAAGGTGTGATCAAATATGGCTTTTTTTTATAACGAAACATCTGTGTACAAAGTGGCAAATAATGAAGTCGAGATTAAGTCTCAAACATAGTTAGTCACTGAAACAGTACTGGCTAGATAAACAATCACCCGGAAACCACGCTTGAGGCTGGAAACAAAGGCCACATACGTCATATTTTTCCCGTTTGTTTGACATTTATACCGGAAACGCCTCCCACTCTTTGTGAGACATTTGAACTACTCTTGCAAAAAGATTTAAGGAACGACTTCCTCCCAGGGCATAGAAGCTAGCCGTGCAGAGTTTCTATCGGTCCGCTCACCTGACTGGCGTTGGAGAAAATGAGTCAATTCGCCTTCGATCCCGAACTTGAGCAACAGCTAAATGACATAGATGAGTTTATTAGAGCACAGTGCGGAGACGATTTATCTGTTGGATTCAATCAAAGCGAATGGCTTTTGCCTTCACAAACCGGGGAAGCCCCAGCACAGACCATGTCTAGCTCCTGGAATGTAAGAGGTAGGTCTGGAAATTTCATTCTTATTAGACACAAGCGGAACGAAAAGGTACGCCGGTCTACAAACACGACAACTTGAACCTTGTACGTGGCAAGCAACTATAAAATAATCTCCTTATGAGGCAGCGCCATTTTGTCGCTTGCGATTCCAAACTCGCTCGCTTATCAGCAAATAGATTAACTATATACACACATTTCTCTGATAGGACATTATCACCTCAAAAGGTACCACGTATTTTACCCAGGCATAGAGTAGACAAAATAATTACCAAGAGAGAATGATTGCCTTATTTCATTACTGCCTGAAGAAAACTGTTTTATTACTGCCGTCGAACTGTAACCAAATCTGCAAGGCTACAAATATTCTGGACAACTACGTTTCAAGTAATAACAGAAAAAGGAGTATTTAACTCTATTCTAAAGTAACTAGTTTTTAGAGTAAACAAAGGCAGTAAGCTTCTGCCTTTTTAGATGCGTTTTTCTAATTTATTGCGGCATCCATGTGTAAAAGTTCAGTAATTTATGGAGGCTGCTTTTTAAAATGGTTCATCACACTTATTCTCGTCCACGTGCTCTTTAATGTCCGGTTTAGATATTGTTTTTCCTCTTATAAGCAAACTGATGAACTGACATTAATTTTTCCGTGTGTGTTTTTTTAACTGACAATCCCATCTTATTGTTTGACGCACGCGACAACGACCGGTGGGACAAGAAGAGTCGCAAGCAACGTCGAGGTTTAAACCGAGTGACTACTGAATAGCAACATACATGGACATTCTCTCAACATCATGTTAAGTGCCATTGCAATTATACGGTGTTTCCACGGAACAAAAAATGACATTTGTATGTAGTGAACGATCCTGTGTCTTTCCTGTTCCTGTGCTTATCAGTTTAGCAACAACACTGAAAACATAACAAGCTATAACAAACTGGTTCTTGTGTGTTATATACGAATGCCACACTTTCGAGCCTCTCGATAATCAATATAACTAATGGTAACACCTGATCATGAACATTGTCCACTTTTCACTGATTTTACTTGTTTACCTTTCCATGGAAACTTATTGTTGTCATTAAAAATGTACCCTGATTTCGCCAGTTTCTACCGCACCCACTAGCAGGATTAAAAAGATGGCAGCTGACGTATATCATACGTTCAGATAAGTCTAGATCAACCGACTCATTTCGAATAGATGATAATGTCGGAAACCAAGAAATGAACAAAATCCCGCCACCAAGCAGAACAAGAATCATCTACCGAAGTAACTCGAAGGGATTTGTGATTCTGTGCAATGTCAAGGCGTCAGATCATCAGCGGAAGAACTTTCCTCTGAAGCTGGCTGAACCGGGCTCTGGCTGGCAAATCAGTTCAGCTGATCGACTGTTCCGAATTTACCAAACAAAGCAAAATATCAACATAAATGACACAACTAATCGTAGTCATGATGTCAGGAAACTTCAACGTCAAAATTGAATGTTTTCCTTCCCTACAGGTTTGAGCGTGGGACGGTCATACATTCGATAAATATTTTAGTTGGGTTTTGTAACAGTTAAACATTCCTCCCTGGTAATTGTACATCGGGTTGGCAGTGGACAGGCTCTTACTGCCACCATCCTGATTTTGGCTATATTTTTATCACTAATCCCAACGCATTTACGAGGACACCAACAGACTATACTGACAAGACGAATTTTTCCTGAAAGGTATGCACTTCCCTCCTTCTTTAATCGAAATGACTTCACCCTCATAAGAAACATTCAATTCTTATTGATAAATAACAACATTTGTACTTAATAACGTTTCTTTTAATGATAAACTTCTAACTGTTTTATTACTCGACGAATCAAAACCCAGAAGGGAAAACTAGACTCAAAAACTGAAGAGTCAATTCTGCAGATGGGCCACTAAATAATCAGTTTTACATTCTACCCAGCACAAAAACCAGTTTCGTTAAATTATTCAAAAACAGTAGACTCCACACATCGAAGCAGTTTTCAGGGAGGTTTATCTATCTATCTTCATTCAGTTCTATTGCATCAACTTGTTGCTATCGGAAAAAAAAATCGTGCAACATATAAAGATCCCTTTGATAAAAGTTCAGAGCAAAGAGAAACATGTAATGGAAGGACTCTGCTTTGGCCAAGAAAATAATATAGTCTTACTACAAAATTTCTGAGGACTTTCTTTCGTCCAAATGTCTTAAATTACCACTCTTATTACCGTCCGTTCAGATTTAGAAGTAAGTTATTTTAGATCAAAAGCAGCAGAGTTCTGCTTGCTTTAACTAAAGCAACCACTTGACGGGATAAAGGTATGGAAGTAAATGCAACGAAACTTGAAAAACAGCCACTATTTGGTTTACCTGAACTTTCAATATCATGGCTAAGAAAAAAAAAATTATTTCCATCGTTCTTTTTACAGTTCAACTTAATTCTCATTCACAACAAGAGAGCGTTTGCTCTGTGCATAAACCTAATAAACAACAGTCGTTTTCAACTAACTGATCTTCGGAAAAGAGACAATTGACAATTCAGCAGGACTGACGTTGTCCCAAAACTACGTAAGTACTTGTACAGATGATTATTTTGTTAAACTTCGCCGTTAATACACCACCAGTTCCTCAGCAAGAACACAATGCGATCAAGTAGAACAACAGACGACCTAACTTTATCTTCTGATAAAGTCAGTGGACTTTGGAACTAGCTGAAATGTCCATCGTTCACTCGAGATCATGTAATCCACTAAACAGTCACTTAAATCAGCAAAAATATCACCAATGTAGTTTTCCACTAGTTTTGTGATTCAAGACCAAGTAAAACGATTTTTCATTTTATATTTAGTGCACAACTGATTCGGAGAGTATTGGAAAGGCTAACAAAGGTCCCAGCGCCATAGACTAGCAACCTTTCGTGGCATTCACATTTTTCACCTTCCATATTATACAACATTTAGTTAGAAATTGCACCAACCTTTCCTTATGTCTTTCATCTGCGAAAAATAACTAGTTCAACTTCCATGGGAATCAGTGTAAGTGAAAAAATTACCTCGGTAGCTCAGACAAAGAACCTAAGGCAGAAGACGTGTAAGACAGTAAAGCGTTGTCATCCTGACTATCAAGGGCGTGACAAACTGGATTACTATCAGATTTTTCGTAGCTTTTCGTGGTCCTCTGTTAAGATTTTTACTCATTTTAAAAGGCTACAGCATTTAAATTCCAGTGAGGAATGCTAGGACAAGCTTTAAACTTGGGTTTAATTTGTTAGCTGACATTCAGTCGAGAGTACAAAAGTACAAAGCAGCTCAGTCGTGAAAACATATGCCGGAAAGGATAAAGCACGATTGTCTTAGATTTAAGCACGATTTTGCTTAGAACTTGGACAACTAATGAAATTCAGCATGGTGTTTTCTCAGTCACAGAGGTCGTATTTAACTTCTTACGTATTAATTTCAGCAGGTCCTACATAGCTCAAAAAAAGGAAAGACAGTAAAGCGTTGTCGTCTGTTATCAAGGGCATGACATGACTGATTTCGTAGCATTTCACGGTTCTTCGTTAAATTGAAATAGAACTTCTCGTTTCAGAAGGCGACCGCACTTAACTTCTAAGAAGAAACGGCTAGTACAAATTTTAAACTTGGGTCGAATATTAAGTTATTCAGTCGAGAGAAGAAAATACAACGCGGCTAATAATAACATGTGATGGAAAAAATGACACGATTGCCTTCGGAGAGGGTTAAGCACGACTTTTGCTTACAACGCGACCATCTAATAAAATTCGACAAGGTGCTTTACCAGTCGTAGGTCGTATTTCAATTTCTCCGCTACAGGTACCGTGTATTTCAACAAAGACTTTTAACTATAGCATAATCTACTAACATTACATCTGCCAAATCCTCGCTGTTTTCAATTATGCCAATATGGCTATTGCTTGTGATATGCAAACTACGGCTTTAGTCTGTAACAAACAGGAAGTATGTCAAGTAGTCTTCTCCACCCTTAAAGTCAAAACTATTTATCCGCTTGTTCCATTCGCCCACGTATACTTTGAAGTCAAATCAGAAAAGATTTAATCCATGAATTCTCGGTACAAAGAGCACACACTCGAAGTAACCACCTAATAAATTCAGTTAAAGCGTCTCAGTTCTTGTCGTAATTCGCCTTTGAAATACATTACAAGTGGATTTAATTAATGAATTAACATAACAACAGAGCAGTAGGCAGCGTGCGTTCGACATGCATCGAGCTAGCATATATCAAGCCGCCATATTGTTAAAGCATACCGCCAGCAGCAGCAGAGTGTCTTCGACATCAAATCAGCTTTCATCAAGCCGCCATATTGTCAAAGAGTACGTTTAGCCGCTAACAACAAGTACATTTAGAAAATCCAAATTAGCATTTTTTTACATTTACTAGTGGTACTTAAAAGTCATTAACCGTTTAAACATCAGAAGGAGCCAACCACTCAAATTTTGAAAACAATTTTAACGACTTGAGAAGCTTTGTAACACCGAAATGCGTTTCTGTGATTATTTTTATTGCAGCAGCATTTGTACTTCTTTAATATCAAGTCTACAAAGTTGTGCATCACTATACACCATACTCAGACTATACTCAGAGCGTTTCCGCCGCATTTTCATAAGAAAGGAAAATATTCAACGATATTTTTGTGGACTGACGTGTTCTAATGAAATTTCGAAAACATGTTCTGAGCAGAAATGATGCATTTTGCCCACGCCAAGCGGAAAATAACACCATTACTGCAGATAATGCTTGACTTCAATAACCTGTTCGCTACGAACTGCAGGTGATAGAATTCAAGGTGTTTGTACAGAACGACTGAATATCTCACCGCGCTAATCGACTTCACACGAGAAATCGCACTATACATCTATTAAAGAAAAGTTACAGCTACCACGGACATTAATATCTCTATACTAGATTACAATCGTTTTCGTTGCTTTGAATGTTACTACATCTTCATGCGTGTGCTAAGATCCAAACAATTTTAAATTACATCCGGTTTTAAGGGAGTGGAGTTGTTTTCACTTTGTTTTTTTCCGCTTAATCTAGCGACCTATGATAGAAAGTAGTGTCAGAATATGTGTCGACAAACGTATCTTATGTTATTACTTCAAGTTCCTTCTTGTAAAGCGGAATCGAGAATTGCGCTGGTAATTGCAGTTTCCAAACCGCAAACCCCTTTGCACGCTTCAACTGCAATTACAATATAATTTCATACGAATATAGCTTTGCCCGAGGAAGCAAGCGAAAATAACCCTGACTCAATTGTTACCGGCTTCAGATACGCGTGATGAACACAGCGTTCATTTTGAATAGCCAGGGTCAAGGTTTATATCAACATTCCCGCATAATCCATCTCCAGGCAATATTCGATTCTACAAAAAGATCATTCGAAAGACAAAAGTTGTACTAAATAATTTAAAAGTATCACGTAGAAAGCAGAAGCGGAAAATCCGCTCTGACCGTGATCTGAATTATGTATGCATGGTTACCTTTTCAAAGTAGCAAAAAATAATCTTTTGTTGGACTCATGGATAATCACATAATCTCTTACAGACGAACTATTTGTTTTTGAGTTCTTAGCTGCTATAATGGCTTCCAGGATTTTCAGAGTGCTAAACTTTTCATCTTCTTCTGCCAACAGCCGACCAGAGTTTTCCATCCTCTTGTGGTGCCAAGATGGAAGGGCTCTCTAAGGACCCTCCTCCAAAAGATTTACAGCCTGAGGTAGGGGTTCAAATAATGAACCTTATGGACACCTATGATAAGCGAACAAAGAAGTTGTCTGGAAAGTACGAATATCGACTGGGATCTTCAGAGGTGACTATTGTGGCCCGTGCATCCGATGAAATAAAAAGAGTCCGAGTTTACGTTCAGAGATGTCCTGAAGCAGCAGTTAGAACACAAGACACAGTGGGTAAGTCGACTTCAAAAGCCCATCGCCTTAACATAGGCTTACAAAAGAACCACCACATAGACAAGTTCTCCGATACAACGAGCAATGGGGTGGGCCCCACCCACAATTGTAAACAATTCACTCTGCTCTATCAACAACTGCACTACAACTAGTTCCCGTTGTCCAAGTTTAAGAGAACTCAGAATCTTGCATAAAGATAAAGATAAAGACCCACTGATGCACGACGTTTTTTTACTTGCCGTTTAAAAAAGTCAAAATAATCAAAGCTCGATATAAAATTGCACGCATAAACATTATTACACTATTGCGTTTTCTCCAGGTCCTGTTGAGCTACAGGTAAACTTGCAGCAGCACGACCACTCGCAGACGGTCGTGTCAGTTGATTTAGGCTCAGTGCACAGAACTGACGACGGCAATGCGGTATACCGACTAGAAAAGGCGGATGTCTTGGAGAGAAATAAGTGGGAGCTGATTATTATGATGGGTTTTCATGCAGGAGTCGTCACTATTGTCAAGTCAAAACCTTTCAGAATCACCACAAGGGCTAGCCACAAGACGAGGAGTCCGGAACTACCACTAGAGAAGTCAAGTAAGTAAAACCTTTACTCAGCACGAACGAATCGACCATTGGTGGAGCTTCCAAACGCCATGTTCCAGTACCATCACAGCTTGGTAAAAATAAGTCATGAAAATAAAAACGATTTCCTCTTGGTATGCTAAAGAAATGTACCACATAGGAGAGTATACCAAGAGTTTGGCGCGGAAAAGATAGGGCAAACTGCACGCAGCATAGAGTGCAAGACTACTAATAAAATTTGTGCAAAGATCGTACTGGAGAATGTTTCACTCATGCGCTTATCACGACATATGTGCTAAGTAGTAACAGGTGTCTACATCCCAACCAGAGATTTTCTATGTACGGCCAGCCCGACTTAGTCAGCCAGTGATCATGTTTTGTCGTACTATCTTTTCTTCAGTCCGATTTCGTTACAAAGCTGCCTACTAATGGCAAACCAAAACACGTCCGAGCTGAATTTGGTACGAGGCTGAGTGGTTTCCACCGGATTTACTTCAGTGAGTGGCAAAGTTCCCAATAGAATGACGCAAAACGCATGCAAACCAAAAAAGGTGCGAGCTGAAATTTGGCTGAGTTTTTATTTCTGGATCTATTCCAGTGAGTGGGAACGTTCCTTGTAGAATGACGAAAAACTCATGGTTGTAAACTCGTGACAAAAAAAACCCTGCGGGCTGAAAAGTACGAAGCTAGGTTTCTTTCAGACTGAGATCTATTTTACTGAGTGGGAAATTCCCCACAGAATGTCATTAAACTCATGGCATTTTAACTCATGGCAAGCCAAGAAACGTGAGAGCCAAATGGAATGCAAACCAGAAAAATCATGGCAAACCAGAAAACGTGCAAGCTGAAATGTACGAGGCTATGTTTTTCTTTTTTGTATATACGTTTTTTAATTTTGGGGAGGATCTATTTCAGTGAGTGGGCAATGGAATGACGTCAAAGCGGGGGCCTACGATTAGTGCTCTGTAAAACCAGCACGCTTTAGTAATTACCAGGTATCCAGGTTGCTATCGTTAGATGTTAGAATGTTGCCAGTGATGTAAAATTTTCTTAGGCTACTCAGTAGTAGAACTGAAAGCCACTGCATTGCAAACTGTACACTGAGGTACGAATACAACAGCTGTAGCTACCAACGCTAGTAATCATAGAAGTATTTGACAGGTACGCTGGCTTCACTCTCAAAACGTTACAACTATATAAGGGAAGGTCTTTTTCTTAGAGATTCGAGTAACTAGTTAATTGTTCTTTGCCCTTTGTTAGGTGTCGCTGGAAATGACATTCAGAGAATACCCTCGCAACATTGTGAAGTCCAGAATCACTCGTTCAAAGGCTCCAATTTCACAGAAGTTGACGAAATTGCGATAGGTAGGTTATTACCAAGTACTAGTCAAGCAACGCACGACAAAAGAGAAGGTGAAAACACTGTAGCTGTTTAAGCTGTTTGAAAATAGTTCCAGATAGGTAAGCGACTGAGGAGTGCGAGATAACCGAGTTCGAAATAACGAGGTTCACTGAGCTTCAAGGATAAGAAGAGCGAGACACTAAGGCAAAACTCTTTATAGTGCTACATTCGTAGCAACAAGATTGGCGTAGTAATGTAGTACCATAGAGTTTAAAGCTACAACTGACCTATTAAACATTTCTTCAGCAGAATCCCTCAATTCAAACGCTGTTGTTAACAGAGTAGCCTCGAAGCTTCGTCAAGAGCTTTCAAAGCTTCATCTTAATGACGAGAACCCCAGCTCAACTCCAACATGTTTGAAGACAAATCCACTTGTTTTTGGCAAAGTTGTTCTGCGACCAGATACGAAACTTGACAAAAGAAAGGTGAGTCGTCGACACAATGATGTCATGTCACTCTTATATGAAAAGTATCGATCAAGTTGATAGATCATCAAGTTTTTAAACCTGACTGAATTAATTGCAGTACTATTTATCCTCATTTTGATGAGCATCAGTATTTCTTAGTTTTATAAACGCAGGTTCGGGACCCCACGGTTACTCCTACTCCTCCTCCTCCTCCTCCTCCTCCTCACCCACCTTTACAACCCGTCATTGACCAGCTGAAACCAGTCAGTCTCTGCAGATCTGCTAATACATTTATGTGCAATGAAACGCTTATCGTTTGTTTTGTGGACTTCTTTTGTTTCTCCAGGTCTCAATGCACTACAATCGTGATGTTCGCGCTCGGTACGTTGTCGAACAACCTGACCTTCCTGATCTGTTAAAACTTATGAGCCGCCGAACGACTTGCACAAGTGGCGGAAGAAGACGAGCAAATGGCTTCAAAACCGCCGAGGAAGACTTTTGGTGGGCGTGCGGGCTATGTTTCTTTGAGAGGCGAAAGAAATCTACAGTTAAAGCCCACGTAACACAAAGAGTTTGCCAGAAAACATCTTTGAGGAAAGAAATGAGACAGAGAAGAAAGGCGTTAGGTCACTTAAAACGATACGCTAGCTGTGAATTTAGCACTGAAGGATTTGAAGACATTGAGCCACTGGCATGGAACAGTCCTCTTTCCGTCTAGCTGAATCAAATGGTACTTTTAGAACCATCCACTTCGGATTGTGTCCCAACACTTTACAGCAGCAAGACTGTGGTTTCAAACAAAGTGCAGGATCGAAGCCGAAGTGCAAAAAAGTAGATGCAGATTATACTTCGTGTAATTACGGATTTAGATCTGTCGAAACGTAGTCGGCTAACAGCAAAGATGTTCCAACTGCATATGATTTACTGCACTATCTTAATATTCCTACCCAACACCAGAATCGTTGCGTATTGCAGCATCGTGCATCAACATATTACTGAGACGTGATCTACAGACATTTCAGTCTTCTTATGGATTCAAGAGCCCAACTCGTATACTGAAAGCGCGTTTCCAATAAAGGCGAAAAGGAAAATATTAAGAACATGCAGTAAAATCAAATAGCATAGTACATAGACAGAAAAGAAATATATCTAAGAACTACCCCGGAACATATGGCACATAAACATATGTCTATATTATTTAGTAACAATAATTATACTAGTATTTTATCGCAGATGTGGTCACCTTATGGCCCATATTCATATTTATATCGATCGAACTAAATAACCCACTAGCATCGCTTTTGAAGAGCAAATCGGTAATGTTTCTCATCAAAGAAATCACGGCTCAAGGCTGCAAGGATGAAAACATTGCCCATGCCAAAACGGTGGGATGATACCCAAGGTTTAGAAGGAATTGCCCTTTTAACCGGAGTCTTGGGAGTGACTTTAAATCAACTAACCCAATATGCATAAGCTCTGTTGTACTTAACACTATGCCGTACTAGCGCCCACCGCAGGCAGGGTAAGTTTTTCCTCGGGCTTCTAAAGTTCGTCAAGAATCAAACTTTGAAGCACATGCTACTTAATTATCATTCTAGAAGGGAAAATAAGACTAGATAACTAACTAGGCGCTGTGAAAGCGCTATCAGTGCAATAAAAGACAGCCTGCTTACTAGGGTTATCGCTAGTTTCCGACCAAAAGTATATCAAAAGTGCAAAGTAAGCCCATCTCAATATCCCGACAAGCCCTGAGTTTATAATTGCGCAAAAGGTGTTTTAGTGGGCTTATTACCGAAAAGAGTTCCGCATCTAAGGTTGTTTGAGAGAGGAGAGACGTTTCAGAATGACTTAAGGAGAGAGATCTTATATTATTGATGGAGTACTTCCCTAAAATTAAAAATGTTTCGCTCTGAGAATGCATGCCAACTGATTCAATACATAAATTATTAAATGCAGATTTCTCACAGGCGAAGGAAATGTTAAGAACTTTTGACCCTTATGAGACCTAAAAACTGGTTCAACTTCGTTAAACAAATGGTGACGAGCAAATTGACAATAAAGGCCCGCGCAATTTTATGCAACTATTCTGAAGCGTGAGGTTCAAATACAAGTTCAGTTTGGTTTGTAAAGAACGAAACGTTCGACACAAGTTTAATTTCTAATTTTTCACCTAAGTGGAACAGTTATACAGATTTCTAGATTAACCAAAACAGTCAGAACGTGCACTCTTAATTTAGTAAATATTTTGAGCTCATAACACTACACAACTATCATATATAAGTTAGTACTTATTTCGACCACACGAAATGGAAAAAATCTCGTTCACACTAACTCAGCAGGGTTAGGTTTACCACGGGGTTTCAATAAATTAACTTGTACTTGTAATAATGGGAGCTTTGATGTCTATGAACATAGGTAGTAAATGATCTAAAGGCACAAACTTAAGAATTTAAACCACTTTATCTAATGCGAGCAGGGTATTAGCCAAGGTAATGGCAAAAAAGTAGTATTTATTAATAATCAAATAGTTTATCTGGTAGATGATAGATATGCTTACAAAAAAGGTAGTTAGACTATGAAAGGGGTGGTATTGTTATTATAAAAGGTGTCGGGGTACTAATAGTTTTTCCATGTATAAGGTCATCAATAGTCTATCACGATTACAAATTGTCTATTATACCTGACTTCTCATGGCCAACTCATGGAGTTCTTGGACTTTGTTTTACTGAAGTGAGGAAGAAACATTATTCAATAAACCACAAGAGAACAATTTCGTAAGGACATGATCATTACTATAAAAATCAGTTCTCTCCTTCCTGAGCAGAGAGAGAGAAGACAGCCACTAATCATATGTCTGCAGCAAGAAAGTTCAGAAAATCCTAAAGACCTGCTTAATTCATGAAGATTCTTTTATACAGTCATGATATACCTTTGGCGCAGAATACTTAGTTCAGCTTTCCCATCTCCCCATTATCATCCTCCATGATTAAACCAGCTAAAATTCAAAAAATTTACTGCTGGTAATTCGTATGGACAAACATCACCTTCTCTTATGATTTAGTATGACCCCGCTAATTCGAACTTGGTTACTTTGAAATTCCCGTTATATCGAACGCAAATGCATTTCCCTTGGATTTTCCCTTGTTTTCCAGTAATTTACAATCGGTTATTACGAACTCGGCTATTTTGAACTCCCCGCTATCATGAACTGATTTCTCTTTCCTTTGGCCTAAAATAAACCCCACTTATTTCGAGCTCAGTTCCTAGAGTTTGAAAAATAAACATCATCATGGTGTCAGACCACGTTAGAACAAGCTGCAAATTGGGCTTTTCATTGCACTTTAATCTTGTACTGTAATGAACTTCGTCCTCGGGTGTTTCTCTTACGGTCTCTGTGTCAATACAAAAATGTACTCCATCGTGTTGATTACATATTAATTACTATTAATTGTTATTTTAATATTTAATGCTGAGCCGGTTATTTCGAAACCCCGCTAGTTCGAAGAATTTTTTTTACAACCTTCGAGTTTGAAATAGCGGGGTTCAACTTAAGCTGAAAATTATATATTCTGTGTGGCTGTTTTTATGGAGATTAATGATATCATTAGTGAAGTTAATTCCTATAATAAATCATTTGATGAAATGTTTTGAAAACCTTTATGGAACGACAAGGATCAACAGACAGGATAACATTACTCATGTTTATCTCTTGTAATAATCTTTATCTCTAGTATTAAGACGGGTTCCGCTCAAAGTTCGAGCAATATGTGCAAAAATTAATTACTAAAAATCTACTCACAGCACGGTAGTTTTTGAATAATATTTCAAACATCTCACTTTAATTAATTTCTTTAAAGAAGTGATCCCGCGATTAAATTCTCGAGTGTTCTCGAAAAAGTTAATGTCCAACCTCGTAAGAATGCTCCATTCCTGTGTTATTGTGTTTTCAACTAACGCGAAACGTCCGTTTTAATTGAAATATGGATAACTTCAAGTTCAATTTACTCTCGCGGGGTCAGCTTGAGAGCTTTTTGGTAACTTTATTTTTGCCATTATTGCTCGAATGTTCTGCAGAAATGATCTTAAATAGTCTTTACCTCTTGTAATAGCCTCAGGCACTTTATTTCTTGGAATGGTTTTTATCTCTTGTAATAACCAAGTACAACAAACGTCTAAAATGAACATAAAAATGACATGAATTATTCAATTAATTATAGAATAATGAGAACGCTACATTAACGCAGCTGCGTGGAATTCACTGCCATGATAGCGATAGACTAAAACTTCTGTTTCAAACAATCTACGCGTTTCAAACAATGTCATATTGTAGTTTCAAAAATGGGAGCTTTCAAGTCTATAAATCTAAATACGGAATCAAAATCCAAAAATCAACGAATGTTTAACGGAACTACGTCACGATTTGCGCATTTTGAAAAGTTTAGCCTAGATTTTCCTCGTTCATTGCTTGTAATCCATGTCAATCGTCTCTATCATCAACTCTCTGGTGTTCTTCTATCTTAGCAAACTATTATCATTTTCAGGTTTGCTTCAATTTAAAGATAATTTTGCGCGAGGCAAAAATAACTCGAAATGCCGTGACTAAGCTCCCTCAACTAATATGAACTGGGTGCTAGCCAAGTTAACGGCTTATGGCTCATTATTTATTAACTATCAAATAGTTTGTATGGTAGGCCTGGCTAATAAAAGTAGTTAATTCGGAACAAGGATATGCTTTGCACGGATGTGCAGAATGACCTTGTGTATGTTTTTATGTAAAATATTGGTGCTCCGGCTAAACTGAGTTTATTAACATGACACATGTCAAGTTATCAAGATTTCGCTTCGTGTTGCTTGCGTTTTCCTCGCTCTCCACTGTATCATGTATTATCTCTAGTTTAACATATGCTGAATAGTTGTAACGAGAACAGCGCGATCCTGCATTCCGAACAATTAATCAGTGTCCTGCAGAAAACTCTCCTCAACCCATCGAGCCACCCAGAACGTACGAATATATTCTATACTCGAAAAATAAACTCTCGTTTACTGACTGATATTCATATATTTTAGCGCTCGTTCTCATTAATGGTCTTTCCTCAAACAATGCCCTGAAGGTGTCGGAAACAAGAGAACCTATTGAAAATACCGTCTTGATTTTAAAGTTTTAAAGGATGAAAGTTAAATGGACAGGGCATTTCAGATATCAATTCAATACTTGTATTGCAGTGAAAACAATAATACTTCAATACAAACATCTGCCCACTACAGATTCTGAAAAACAAAAATGATCAACTGAAGTCAAGACCATTGACTAGCGATTAGCACATTTTGATGGTAAGTTATTTAGCCAGTCATTACATTAAAAACAATATTTTCTAAGCATATTTTCTTGCAAAGCCACCTTACATTACGGAACGGGTAAAGGCATCAATGGAGAATGCTTGTTTTCTGGGTGTGATGTGATTTTCATAATTTATGCCACGTGCTATTACACAATTAGATTTTGAGTTCGAGATTTCTATGACGTCAGTGATGGCTGGCGAGGACGAAGGCGGAAACTACTTTCACCGAGAGCGAAAAATGTACTTGATTTGGTATAATTTCCGTCAAAAATTATTTCAATAAATTTATCTAAATATGTAGTAGTGCGACACCTCACGCTCGAGTTTTAATGCTTGGAGGATGACAGATTAATGGATCAGGCAATAAGGATATCTTCTAAGGCTTACGTCAGATTGGAAACAATACTTGCGATGCGTACCTGCTCATTACATACATGAACTCTGAATAAACAGTCAAGAAAGCACCTGTGACCACCGTTCGACGCAGTTCGGACGTCATTTAACCGTTTTATATCTTTCCGTCCTTGTGTGGCATTGTAAGCAATGTTAAGTACATCTTACCACATCTGCTCACAAAGACCTACACATGGTAGCATCACGTCATACCAACTTTGCAAATACTTAGCTATTTACCAATTTTGAAGTTGTTAAAAGTAATTTAGCCCTTCATCAGAACATTTTTCTATGCAGTTTACCATGTGGTGGAGTGAAAACATCACCGTTCTACCATCACCTAAAACCCAATACACACATGCGCAAGCCTCGGCGGAATTAATACAAATGTCGCGTAAGGCGTGCTTGGAAGGCGAAAAATGTCTGCGACGCTCAAAACTTGAGCGGGAAGGGCGCGTGAGGTAGAGAAGCGCAAGCTAAACTAGTTTAGCTCGCAAGAAACGGCATTAAGTGACGTCATTATGGCGCGAAATTTTCTGGCCGTCGTGTGTCAGTAGAGCAGGTTATAAAATTTGTTTACTTTCTATCAAAGAAATTCACAACGTAGAACCGGTGATACAGGTTTTTGCTCTCGCGGTGACGCTTGTGAAGGAACCAATAATCGACTCGCCGCCGAAACAAAAAGTCAGTGTTTCGCCGCTGTCGGCAGTGTTCAACACAGGCCGTGAGTTATTTCAAAGCAAACTACACGTATTGTACTGAGAAACGAGTTAAATTTGAAAAACTTATATTCATTAATCGTCTGCATTACAGATGTCAAAACAGAACATAATGTGTTGAACAAAGCTGTTTACAAACGCATTTTTTCACCGGCTTCTCCGACATGACGTAGTCACAGCTCTGCATGAGGTAGATTTGGGCTTCCAAAACCTCAGGGATATTTTTCGTTGCGAAATTAAACTTCTTTCACTTCGTCAGTTTAAATGAAAGCCAAGTAAAAGTTTCCCTGGCTATTTAAAAGCGGTATAGTGGACCCCGGTTGTTACGGACACTAAATTGACCTGTAAAATTGTCGGTATCATACGTAAGTCCATATTAGCGGGCTCTAAGAATAAACGTCACGACATGCGCTTTATCTGTAAAAGCTTGGAACTAAAGCACCCAATATAAACAGAGACAAAACGACACTTAAGGCCTGGTAACTGCAACTTAAATTGTAACTTAAGCTTGTGCTCATTTAAATAGTCAGATGTCTCGCACTTGCATTAATACTCTCCTGTCCGTTTCAAAAGCGGCAAAATAATCAGTTATTTAAATTGTCTCAAATACCCACGTTATTTAATATAGAGTGCAAAGATATTTTGCTTCCTAAAGGGTTAAAATGGCAAAATGATCCGGCTTGAAAAATGAAAATCTACGGAGCGAAGCGCAAAGCCAGAGTCCGTAAAGGTTACTTAGTATGAGCGTATGTCACTCGTCCGTGGAAAACTTCCGTTATCCATATTAACCGGTTTCCGTATTTAGCGGCTATTAAAAATAAGAGAAAACATGTCAGCCTTTTGTCGGGACAAACAAGACTGTCCGTTATTGGCAGGTTACCGCATTAAGCGAGTGTCCGTAGAGCGGGGTTTTACAGCAGCATCTTTGCTTGTCTTGTTTGAATTCCCCCGGTAAATTTGGCGCGCAAAAGGGATGAAAGTCCACCGCGCCAGCCCTTGTAAATTCGCTCAAGGGAATCAAAAGAAGAGGAATCAGTGCGTTCGGGAACAAGTAAATACACTCGCTCGTCATATGCATTTTTCTAATCTCTTCCAGCTGCCTGGGCCAGGCAGTGAAGGACGGATAAGTGCTAGACTTGAACTGGGCCGGGCAGTGAAGAAACGATGTGTAGAGAGTGCAGTGGGCTTTTCATCGCCATGAACAAAAGGAAAAATAAAAGTAACGAATAGTATGAGGTGAAGGAAACGAAAGGAGGATGCATGATGATGATACAAATTAAGGATTAACAAATGTTTCTTTAGAATAGATTCTTGGTTTC